ATAAATAAATAAATAAATAAGGAATGCTTGTGACTGAAAGAAATAGACATAACTCCTTGTCTGAGGGATGAAATAATGTTTGTTGTTGCTATATTGTTTTTGTTTTGCATTCATTCGCCCCCCCCCCATATTTATCAAACTATGGGGAAATTTTGCAGCTTGAAAATTAGCTGCTTCATAAACTCACACTACAGCTAAGAGACATTTGCTTCACTCAGCCAAAGAATTTCTGTTTCTTTGAACAGTAGCAAGCTTTGATGGTCTACTTGTTAACACCTCATGAAGTGAGGTAGCTGCATTCAGATTATTGCTGTTTAGTAATCCTGACCTCATATTTGTTGTTCTTTTAGTTAGGACACTTATACCCTACTGCACTGTTTGGAATCAGTTCACAAGACTCACACCAACCACTGACCACACTTAAACATGCTTATTTGAAGAAGATTTCGTTTCCTAATACTATCACGTTTCCTAACACTATGGATTAACACACTTAGTATTTTGCATGGATGCACTGGAATATAATTGTATATGCTACATTAGCCCCTTTGCCCACAGAGAGAAAAAGTCAGAAAACACTGTTCTGAGCTTTAAGGCATCAAGGAAGGAAGACCCAGAGTGCAGTATCGGATACAAAAAAAGTCCATGCATACTGTGCAATGATTGTCAAATCTACCTCTCCATTAGACCCCAACAGGAACATTTACTTATTATTTTGTGCATTAAACAGTTTCTGCTTTATAATATCTCTATAAAATAGTGACTTGTCATTAAAAGCCCTGCTCAGCGCTGCTACTAGAGAACAAAATCTTTTGGGTATCTGTTCATTATGCCCCTCAGGATTTGTGATCTATCGCATTAGGAATAAAAACAAGGCATTACTTCTACTACCCACACTCTTCTTTGGCATCAAACTGCCACAACCAGCACAATTGACCTGGGAGCAAGTCCAAATGAGAAAAATTGGCCTTGTTTCCAAGAAAATAGCAGGGGACACATGTTGCTGTGCTTGTAGAAACATTTATGTGCTCCTTTTAGGCTCTCAGTTACTGTTAACATGATGTTGTAAGCAGGCTGTCTGGATTAAAAAATACAACAGCCTAACCCCATCAGATGGGGGTGGGTGGGTTCCAAGGCAGAAACTTTACACCAGGAAGAATGAGATAAACTGGTCTTTCCTGGTATCACACACTAAACACACGTGGCTTCTCACTGTAACTAGACAGCCTGTCTAAATTCTAGGATTTACGGGTTTGAATCCTTTTTTTTTACACTACTGCAATGTTTTCTTCTAGCAGCCTCAGCATTGCTGAGAGAGAGAGAGAGAGAGAGAGAGAGAAAGAAAGAAAGTGGCATATGAAGGCATATGAAGCCACTCCCAACCCGCAATGTTTTCTTCTAGCAGCCTCAGCACTGCGTAAAAACAGCAGCAACTCTACATTGCGCGGTTCCGCCACCCATATAAATCGGATCATGAGCTTGTACTCATTTTCTATGGGGTGTTCTGGAGTCCAAATCTGGGCAACCAGAAGTTGGAAAGGTATGCCCTCTGCTACTCTGTTCGACTTACGCCTTCCTTTTGTGTGGGCATCTGAGAGAGAGAGAGAGGAGCTGGCGTGGCATATGAAGCCACTCCCTAGTTTCCCGGTCCAGGGGTTTAATCGCGGGTAGGGATCGAGCGGACCCCCGCACTTTGAGGTTTTGAACACTCCGAGCTGCTGCCTTCCCACATGACAACCATCACGTGTATTCCTGCCAGGTTCCCGAGCCGATCTCCCCACCCCAAATCCCTAGCCAGCGTGGAGGGGGAGTCGGCGAGGGGTAAGCCAGGCGCCACCGTCCCAAGCCAGTCAAGTCCCGTCCCTCTGCCGCAGGGCCACCTCTGAGTTGGGCAAATCTCTCCAGCCTCTCCCGAGTGGCTTGTTGCAGCAACATTTCCGCCTCTCCTGCGACCGGCATGACACCGCCTGAGCCCGCTTCCTAGACCGCACGCATCCGCTTCCGGCCTGAAGCCAACGCCATCTCCTGTTTCTCGGCCGGGCCTGGTCTGCGTAATCGAGGCGTCGGTTGCCTTGGCAACCGGGAGGCCCTCCAGGCCGGGATCCTAGAGTTGTTGCTACTGAGCCTCTCCGCGTTTCTTCCCGCTGCAAAGTGGAGGCATGGCATCCTTGGGTGGGAGGGAGGCGTGCTTCAGCCCTGGGAGTGCCGATTGAACAGAAAACAGCGGCTGCCCCGTTCTGTTGAGGTTTATAGGTGAAAAGCGCATTTTAATTTGAATCCTATTTGAGCATGTGACTTCATTTAGACCAGCCTCTGGGCGGCAAAATTGCCTCCAAACTTGCGAGAGCTCCGGAGCTATATATCGGAAGCGATGCTAACAAACTGCAGCAGAAGGAAGGAGTTTTTTTTAATTTTAATTTTTAAAACACAACTTAATTTCGTGTTTTAATTTTGAGAAGAATAGCAGGTGTTGTTGGCATGACGGCCTTTTCTTCTTTCTGGAGGATGTTGTCTCAACATTTCCACCATGTGCAAAGAAAGCAGCAGCTGCTTCTCTCTTGCTCAGTTTGCGTCTGCTGCTTCCAGGAAAAAAAATCCCCGCAAGCCGTTCCCTCTCTGCACAATCATTTGTCTTTTGGAGCAAGTGGGGTGCAGATGGTTGGTTATGAAAAGAGCATTCTCTCCCCCCCGCCCCCAATCTCCCAGTCTCTCCCTGCGAGGCACAGTGATAAGCATTATGACAAGTGAAATTATAAACCTCACGTCTTCTAGGAGTGCGTGCATGGTTCAGGCAGAACAAGTCTGGTGGTTGCTTGTTGGAAGTAGCAGAAGCTGCCCTCTTATTCTTGCTCCTTTTCTAACTCAGTGTGGCCCTAATACAGTACGAGGGTCATCTCACTTTGCCTCTGCAAGAGAGCAGGCAAGAACCTCCAAAAGGAGAAGTTGAGTTCAGCCCACAGAGGGAAGAACACCCATAGCTTGTGCAGCCTTTGCTGCCAAGAGGAAGAAGGTAACAGCTGCTGTTCTTGTTTGGCATCTCTCACTGTGTAGTTGAGGGATGGAAAGATCTGATCCTGTAGCGACCAGTTCAGGTCATGTATTGTAGATGATGGTGAGTGAGAGAGGTGGCTGCTTCCTTTATGCTGCAATGTCTGGAGGGAATGGCAAGCAAGCAGAGGTTTCTGCTTGTGATTCTCTTTAGGTATTGTAGCATTGTGACCTAATCTGTTGTGCACAGAGCATGAGGACAGAAGTTCACCAACATACTTAATTTATTACTGTATTTTGACTATGAGTGTTGTACTGATGAGAGGTAGCCAAAGCATAATGTGCAGAGGTTAGGGAAATACTGGATATTCCCCCACATTCTAATGTGCAGAGAATTGCAAATGGAGAAAAGGCAATTTGTGTACACTCATGATGGGATCCACTCATTTATTACATTTATATGGCACTTTTTCCTCCAAATAGTTCAAGGAGGCTTATCTTTTTCAATCTCCCTCACATCCATTTTAACTGTACAAGGCTCCTGCAGTACCTGAAGTCACCTGTTGAATTTCACAAGTTTGTAGCAGATCCTATGGAAATCTATGTTTACATGGATAGTCACGGTTGAAAATATGTGGGACAATTAATTCATAATATGTTTTCATTGCAGTGAACTTAGAAAATGTTGTTTCTTACATCCAGATGCTATGTATGTTAGGTTCACTCCCAGGCTAACATATAGAAGAGTGGTCTATCGACTAGATAGGCGGGATATAAATTAAAAAAAAATAAAAAAAAATAAAAAGACTGAAGACTCACAGTATATTGTGTACTCAGGTGGATTCAGTACAGCCATATGACATCACTTAATAGCTTAGCTTGCATGCATGCATGCAATTGCAGTGCTTGTTTATTTACGAGTATTTATAAACTGTTCATTTCTAAAAATTTCAAAGTGGTGTACAACAAAAATAAATCATTGAACATAAAACTATTCATTAACAAAGATACACAATTTATACTATCCGAAAATAGATGGTAAGACTGAACTATACTGTAGTGGTTTGCTTGCAAAAATATGTAAACTTCAAGATATGCCTAAAGATAAGAATTACTAGAACAAGTCTGATACCTATAGTCTATACTACCACTGTGTGAAGTGTTCTCTTGTAACTAACTGTAGAACAGATTTGAGGAATACGTTGCACCACCAAGAATGAATGGGTTTATAAGTAAGATAGCCCATGCTAGTACTTGTTACACTACTTACTGCAGCATCTGTTATCTCAATCCGTCTGTTGATTGATTGAATTGCATTGAACATTGTTTGAATGGTATTGAACATAGAAATCCATCTTCAATCAAGACAAAATATTGCTGTAGCTTAGTATTATTACTGGATTTGCAGCAACTCACCAGACTTTCATACAGGAGTTGAAATTATTGATGTGATAACAGTACCCTCTTAATGTAGGTTACACATAAGGACAATCAAATCTTGTGGCATTCTCACTTCTTAGAACAATCTATAGTTCTTGATGACCCACAAAGGCAGTGGCTTTGCTGCAGTTTATAAAACACAAACTGGCTTTTTTCTGAAATTCTTTAGTGTGCTTCAATGTCCAGTGTGTGTTCGCAATATGCTTTTCAGTGCTCTTCTTTTTCCAAATTCAGCTTGAACATTTGGCATTTCTCATGTCACATATACTAGGAGTCTTTGTTGTAAAATATTGAGCATCATTTTGCTTTCATGGCAAATTAATGCAGTGGTTCTATAGTTACTGCACTCTTTGGCATCTGTTGGAGTGTATTGAAAACTTCTAATCTGTGGAGCCATTATTTTGTTTTCCATATTTGTTGGCCTGTCTTTGTTAGGATTTTAATAGATCCTGTCTCTGTGGTTTGAAATATTTCTGTTGATGCCCTATCTTTTCCTGATTTATTTCTTCCAGTCATTTTGAGAGTAGCCTTCACTTTCAAAAAGATAGGTTCTTTATCAAAAGGTTGATCTTTGATGGAATCTGGCTTCTATATATTTCTTCAGTACTGTATATTGTTTCTAGATTCTGGAAAGATTAAAAATGATATTAAATTAGAAGATTGGTATAATGAAGTATGGGACATTGCGTTAAATGATAAATTGACTACTGAACCTAAGATGAAAAGAGGGAAAATAAGTTTAAATATTTTTATGCTATTTGGGGTAGATATATTAGTGAAAGGAAAGGGGAAAGCCTCTAGGCAACAATCAATACAATTTTGGAAAGGAGGTTCGTAATAAAAGTATTGCTTCAAAGAGTCCTATGGGTATGGGGATGCACTATGTTTTAGATTGTTAGTAAGTATTTTGTATTCTTGTATTTGTTTTGCAAATTTTTAAAAATTTTTTAAAAACACCCCAGTATCCTTAACCTTGGCTTAAATTTCATTTTTACTTAGTGGATCATATGGAAGAGGTATGAAGAACCTCTCTTTTCTCTACAAAAAACAGGAACAGGAAGGGACTGTGTTACAGATCACAAACTGTTATTATTACAAATTACAGCAAAGGTGAAGAACACTAAAGAACCACAGTAACAAAATATAACTTAAATAACATTTAAAGAGGGTGATGCCCATCTGCACAGTCTTATGTTCAGTTGCCTGAACTATGCATATTTAATAAGCAGATTGTTGGCTTCACATAATTCCATGAGTTGCTCTCCTGCTTCATTTGTAACTCTTAGGGAAAATTCTCCTATGGTATTTGGTTCTCTTTTTTCCTTCCTACTGTACTCCAGTCATCCACGATTATTAGTACATCCTGTTTGATGTGTGATCAGTTCCTTTGCATAAAAGCTTTTAATTTCTTCTTCATCTGTACTTGGAGTATAGAGTTGAATTATAGTTATGTTGACAGGTTTCACTGAAGTCTGATCAATATTATTCGGCCAGACTTCTCATTTTAGCCACTAGCTGCTTCTACTTGTCTCACTGTCAGAGCCACTCCATTTCTTCTGACCTTTCCGTTTTCAGAATAAAACACTTTGTAGTTATCTGATGGAAAATGCCCCATTCCAATCTACTTTTGTTTGCTCACACTAAACATTACAATGTTTAAACAATTAATTTTTTATTTTAATTTCTCACTTCCATGTTCCATCTGTGTGGGATGTGCAGTATTGGACTTTCTTTTTGCAAATCAGCAACTAAGTATCCTTTTGGCTTTTATCTAGTTGCTTCATTAGCAACAACACTATTTGTACTTATTTGTACTTATCCCTTTTTGGTGTTTTTTTTTTTTTGCACGCTGTCAAGGCAATTAGGACTGATGGCAACCCTTTTCAGGGTTTTCTGGGTATGGAGCACTCAGAAGTGGCTTACTGTTTCCTTCTTCTGGGGCCAACGTGGCAGCTTGCCTGTGGCAAAACAGACTGGCTTTTCTGGCAGGTACAGAGGAGAATTGAACTCTCAGCTTCTGGCTCTGCAGTGAGATACTTAACTTACTGAGCTGCAGTAGCTGACTGAGTACCTTCTGACTGAGAGTCTCATCTGCCAGCACTATTCTTTGTTTCCTTTTTAGATTGTCTCATTATAGGGTTTTCAAAGTAAGATATATTCAGCAATGGTTTACCATTACCACCTTCAGCATACAACTAAGAGGAATTATTCTGAGTGTCACTGCCACTGAAAAAAGATATTTAGATATTAATATTTTTCACTACTGCCAGAGTCCAATGGCTACTTTTCAAGAATTTGTCTGCCCTCATCAGATTGACTTCTGCTCTGCAGCTTTTCATTTATGAAGAGGATGGATGCGTCTCAGTACTCTGGCTTAGCTTTGACTATTTTCCTTGGAAAACCCTGATAGGAGTCTACACCTGGAATGAAATATAACTTCCTGGCATTACTGCTCTTAGTTTCACTGGCATACACAAACCACCTTAAACACTTAGGTGTTCAATCTAGAGAGGGATTCTGATTTGCAGCAAAATGGGTTCTGAAGCAATCTGTTCAAAAGAGGTGAGCAGTAGTTTATTTGGTTGTTGTGGGTTTTTCGGGCTCTTTGGCCGTGTTCTGAAGGTTGTTCTTCCTAACATTTTGCCAGTCTCTGTGGCCGGCATCTTCAGAGGACAGGAGTAGCATAGAGCCTGAAAAACCCACAACAGCCATTAGATCCTGGCTGTGAAGCCTTCGCAAATACAGTAGTTTATTTATTTATTTAAAATATTTTTACCCCAAATTTCTCCTTAAAAAGGACTCAAGGCACCTT